GTTCTTTTCTAAGATCCGTGACCCCACTGGTCCCATGAGGCTGGATAGGTTTTCAGTTTCAAGCATCATTCCTCTACTGTTGAGTGGACCGTAAGTCTAATTAGACAACTCCTATTGGCTGCCATTGGCATGTGAGTGCTCCTTGTTGCACTTTTATGCATATCCTGCCATGCTGATAATTGTCATGATTCCCAGGTGTTGCAGCTAGGTCAGACTATTTGTTTCCTTCCTTTGGCACCTTGCATGTTTTTTTTTTTTTTTCCTGGAACCTGGGGGGCTGGACTTCAGAAAAGAGTCTCTCAGGTCAGATCCAGCTCCAATCACCCCAGTCTTGTGTCCTAAGTGTACAGTGTCTTCAACAATGGGGGCCTGAGAGGTGTTTACGGGCTACACGTATATTGTTTGGGGAATCGCTTGCAATACCCAACCGTTCTAGAGGCTTTTCATGCGTGGGACTGGGGTTTTTGTCTTTCTTAGGTTCTTGTTGAGAGTGTTGTCAGTCCAAGTAGCTTAATTTCTTTTAATATTTAAGATGTGTGTGTGTGTGTGTGTGTGTGTGTATGTATCCACATTTGCATTGTGTATAATTTAAAGTAAACATAGACGAATATGATCCTTGAAGCTTTATCAAACAACCTTGGTGTTATTTCTCCCTTGTCACTCCTTCTCCTCCTGTATTGACCTCCCTCCTTCCTCTCCAGTAGGAGCCCCTTCCCGTTATTCCTTTCCCATTCATGTCACCTGCATCCTGCTATTCTCCTTCCTATCCCCACCCACACCAACACCTATATATCCCACCCATATATCCTATATATCCCACCCATATATCCTATATATCCCACCCATATATCCTATATATCCCACCTATATAGTCCCTTTATTCTTTCCTGGTTTCTGCAGTTACTCGGTGCCATGTACTCACACCTGAAGATTTGGAGCTAGGAACTGCAGATGAGAGAGCACATGTAGCATTTGTATTTATGGGTCTAGGTTACCTTTCTTCATACATCCTTAATACAACTTTTCTAGTTCCATCCATTTATCTGCAAATTTATTATTTCATTTTTTTGTTACAGCTCAATAGTATTCCACGTTGTATATGTACCACATTTCATTACCCATCTATCAGTTAACAAACTTACTAGATTTAGGTATATTTAGGTACTCTCCATTTCCTAGCTATCGTGCATTGGGACGCTATGAACATTGCTAGGTAAGGATCAGTGGGGAATGATGACAAGTCATTTGGGCATATGCCAAGAAATTAGGTATAGCTGGGCCATACGACAGATTTATTTTTATTTTATAGTAAGTTGGTTTGTTTGAGTCTCCATCTTGGTTTTTAGAATAGCTGGACAAGTTTGCATTCCCCCCAACAGCGGATGAGGGTTCCTCTGCGTCTCTAACCTTGCCAGCGTTTGCTTTTGGTTGTTTTGTTGATCTTAGTCATGCTTACAGGGATGAGATAAAATCTCAAAGTTGTTTTAATTTGCATTTCCCTAATTGCTAAGGATGATGAACACTCTTTGAGCTATTGCTTACCCAGTTTTTTTTTTTTTTCTTCTTCTGTTGACAACTTTCTGTTTAGGTCCTTATCCTGTCTTTGAATTGCATCATTATTTCCTTTGGTCTTTGTTTTCTTAGTTCCTTGTGTATTCTGGATATTAGTCCTCTGTTGGATGTAGAGCTTGCAAGAATTCTCTTTTACTTTGAGTTTCTTCTTCAACAGATTGACTGTTTCCTTGGCTGTTCAGAAGTGTTTGAGTCTTATGTAATTCCAGTTGTCATTGCTGACCTTAATTCCTTGGCCAGTGAAGTTCTGTTCAGAAAGTCTGTCCCTGTTCATCTTACAGGGCAATGCCCATGTTTTCTTCTAGCAGCTTTTGTGTTTCAGGTTTCAAGTAGAGGTCTTTGGTTCACTTGGATCTAATTTTCATTCGAGATGATAGATATGGGTCTAATCTCATTCCTGCATGAGTATGTCCAGGTTTCCTAGCACCATTTGTTGAAGATGCTGTCTTTTCCGTAGTATATGTTTTTTTGCCTCCTTGTCAAGTATCAGATGGCTGTAGTTGTGAGCTACTTGATGTGGATGTGGGGCTTTGAACTCAGATATTCTGGAAAAGCAGGGAGTGCTGTTAACCACCAAGCCATCTCTCTTGCCCCCAGAGTATATTTTAAAGGCATATTACACCACCTTGTGTCAAATACATTATCTATTTTGTGCCAAGGACTGAAGATTCAAGCCGGAGTGGTAATTCCTAGCTTCTTCACAGTTTATCAGAAGAGCTCAATGATTTGGGCATTCCAAACTTACGATAAATGTGGGCCTTAGTCAATCACACTTAAAACTAAATGGTGGTCAATATCAAGGATATATGCATTCTAACTTAATAGATGACAGCTAATCAATAAAATGTATCTGCTATGGAGCATGACCACATTAAAGAATCTGTTTGAGTATGAGTTTTAGTCCCAAGATGCTGGCATTTTCTTGGCAAAACCCTAGTACAGAACAATCAAAACAACCTAAATTAAATAGAATGACAGGAAATATGAAAAGAATAAACAGATTTACCTTTGCACTGTAGTGTCTCAGAAAATAAGTCTTAGGCACTTTCCCCCCATATTTTAAATGAGGAGTTTTTATGTAAGAAGAGGAAGAGGGCTCAGAAAAAATATTTTGTGAAAGGGAAGAGTGGAAAGGATGGGAAGAGAAGGAAGACACGTTTGCAAAGAGTGAGAGTCAACAACTGTCGAGTAGATGGTGGAGGTGGGCGTGCCTCAGAACCACAGGCCTCAGCGTCCCAGAACAATGCAGCATCTTCTCACTTTCATTCTCTGTCAGCAACACTACTCTTCGGTTCACCAAGCTTCTTCCTTCTTTCGCACTTCCTACACTTTCTCTGGTATCTTCGTGGCCAGCTTTTATTGTCTTTATATCTGGCTCATCGCAAGATCCTTCTCTGCAAATCAAACTAGCCATTATGTAGCTGGAGTTTTCTCCAGTCCCGCCTAGCACCACGGACCCTGCAACCACTTATAAAATAATCACTCAGAAACTTATATTAATTAAACTCCTTGGCCATTAGCTCAGGCCTACCATTGACTAGCTCTTACACTTAACTCAGCCCATTTCTGTTAATCTATATGTCGCCATGTGTTCCGTGGCGTTTCCTGTTGCCTTTATATGTTGCTCCCTGGATGGCAGGCTGGTGTCTCTCCCAGCTTCCACCTCCCAGCCTCTCTTCTCTGTTTGTCCCACCTATCCTATACTTCCTGCCTGGCTACTGGCCAATCAGCATTTTATTTATCAATCAATCATAGCAACACCATTCCTTCTATGATTTTACATTTGAACCTCTGTTTGATGAGCCTCTATTCCAGTTTCACTCTCCCTGAGGTCCTTCTCACAGCCTCATGCTTCTACCGTGTTCACTTTTCATTGTGAACATCTGCTTTCTGCCTACACAACTATACTGACATTAGAAAAAAAAATCTAAAACAACTGTGGCTAGAGAGATGGTGCAGCAGTTGAGAGCACTGGCTGTTCTCCTGAGTAACCAGGTTCAATTTCCAGCACCCACATGGTGACTCACAAACATCTGTGATTCCAGTCCCAAGGGATCTGTCACCCTTTTCTTGTTTCCTTGGGCATTGCACACACAGGTGGTGCATAGACACACATGTGGGCAAAGCATCCATACACGCAAATAAATAAAAATTTGAAAAATCTAATCATTTACACTTAGCTTTGCAATAGCTAGACTTAAAATTTTTTTTTATCTAAATTCATGTACTCAGAGATTCTGTACTTAGTTATATTCGGCACTAGAGATAAAACACATTTTCATCATTCTAGAAAGTTCTATTATCTACTATCTCTCATGAAAGCCTTGTGGTTTTTTGTTTGTTTGTTTTGTTTTAGTCTAGCTATTCTGTATCTCCAGGGCTCAAGAGGATACTAGAAAATGAATATTTACTCTGTGAATGGTCCAGCTTCATGAAGCAGATGGATTATATACAGTAGGAGAAATAATGAGATTGAATCCAATATTGGAGCCAAATACTGAAAGAACTTATGTCCATGACAAGCGGGATGACATTGGTCATGGCAGGTCAAATGGATTTCTGATGCAGAATGGTGTGACTAAGTTTCTACCTTAACATGGTTCTCCCAATAGCAGGAACCAGATGATCATATCAGGAGAGCTGGAAAAGGAGAGAACTTCAGGTTGCCCATGTAAGTCAGAAAAACAACCACCTAAGGGTCTCATTGGCTACAGATGCCACCAGCCACAGAGAGACCTAGTTTGATTTTTGGCTCATATTGCATGCACTACATGACTCTGTTCCATGTAGTCAATCAGGTACCCAAGGATCTGGAAATCCCCCTGTCTTTTGTCCACACATATGGAATATGTGACTGCCTTTGGTAAGGGCAGAGGAAGGCTGGTACAGGTTCATGTTCCATTTTTTTTTTTTTTGCTCTGTTTCTGTGAAATATCACCCACTAGTAGCATCTATCTACTAAACTGAAAGAGTTAAGTGTAGCAAAGATATTTATTTACTGACTTATATACTTTCAGACTTAGTCTTTATACCACTGTGAAATTGAATTTGGAGAAAAATGTACAGAGTGAGTCACAGGCCTCTCTGAACTTTCCTGCTCTTATACAACTACAGTCTCTCTATCAGTAGAATCTCCAGAGATCCTGGTGTCTGCCTAGAAAGAAGTCAACCCACTATAGTGGTAAATGGACTAGGCATAGCATCTCTGGAGAGAAGAAATAGGGAAATGATGTCATTGTGTGAGTCCAAAGTGAGCATGTGTCAAAGAGCATAGACCAAAGTGAGAGGGGTGGGCTTCATCCCGGCTCTGAGTCCCGGCTCTGAGTGACCTCAGATTGTAACGTGTGAGACATTTAACAAATTGGTATCACAATTTAATAATTCTAATTTTATGTCTACAAAATAACACACACATGTGCATACATCCAATGGGATGTTTGTGGTCTGTAGAACTAAGTAATAAGTACTTGTTTTCCATTTCTTCCTTCTTCCTTTATGATTTCCTTTAATGGCTAGTCTTGAATGTCAGCTTGATAGGACTTAGATTCAGTGTGAAAACACACCTCTTAGTGTGTCCCATGAGTGTATCTCCAGAAAGGTTCAACTGGGCAAGAAAGACCCACCCTGAGGGTGGGCAATACTACCCCATGGGCTTGGTTTCTGGACTAAATAAAAAGGAGAGAGCTGAGCACCAACATCCATCGCTCCCTGCTTCCTGGCTGTGATGTGACGTGACAGCTGCTCACTCACCTGCTTCTGTGTCTTCCCTTCAGAGCTGGCCTGCACTCTCAAACTGTGACCCAAAGTAAACCCTTCCTCCCTCAAGCTGGGTTGTCAGGTGTTCACTCACAGCAACAGGAAGAACAACAAGGACTTTGCCTTTTGTATAAACTGATGACGTGACTGCTCCACGGCATGGTTAAGGGGAAAGTTTTTATTAGAGATATGGAGGGCATTGAAATCTAGAAGAGTCCAGAGTAGAGAGAGAAAGAAGTAGACTGAACATGGCCAGCAAACCAGACATGGCCAGGGCTATCCATGAGAGAGGGGAGAAGAGCAAGGATAAGGAATAATGAAAACACGGGGAGGGAAGCAGGAGCAGAGCAGAGCAGAGAGAGAACATAGTGAGAATAGCAGGGTTATGAGGAGGATAAGTAGCTGGGGTAGGGAAGGAAACTCACGATCTGGAAGGAGTTAAGGGTAGGGGAAGAGGTGAGAAGAGCCAGGATGTGGACAAGAAATGTGTAATAGATGCTTATGATGCTGAGGGACCAGCATGGAAGCCAGCATGGGCTTTGATATGCTAATAGGTGCCACAGGTAGCTATAGGGCCCTCTGCCAGAGGTTAAGGGAAATTTCTCATTCTGGGTAGATGGGAACCAGTTTCACAAGTCCCTAAGGAATGCTGGCTTTTGTCCAACTGCCAGAAATGCTGCTATAGTTCAGTTGGAGCTCATTTCTGGATATTTGGGTAGCCTTTGGGGGCCTGGGGAATTAGAGTTTCCTTTGAACCTGACTGACACCTCTAATCTTTCTCTCTGAGGTTTTCAGTTACTCATTAATGGGGTGCGGAGGCATGTAAGTTATTAAAGCACTGGTTGCATTTCTGTGGCTGTGATAGAATACCCCAACAAAAGCAACTTAAGGAAGAAGGAAGGGGTTTACTTTGGCTTATGTCCTATGGAATCCATTGTGCATGGTGGTGTAGGAGCAGGAAGCAGGGTGGTCACATTTCATCTGCACACAGGAAGCGGAGCAAGAGAATAGGAAGTGGGGCCAGGCTATCATCCCTCAAAGCCCATCCTCAGTGAAGACCTTCCCCCATAGCACCACCAGCTGGGGACCAAGTGCTCAAACACACAAGGACAAATGTCATTCAGATGTCACTGCAGATGTTATGGCATGAGCCAGAGACTATCCCCAGTAGCCTTCAAAGCTCGTTATAGGTCCACTGCCATTGCATTTGCTACAGCTTTTAATTTTCTTCATTTAATGACAGACCCGTGGGGGAGGGATCACAGTTCTTCTGTGTTTTTACAAAATGCTCTCAAGAAGGTTAACATTTGAAAACAGGCTACAAATGACACCTCAAAGTAACATAAGAAATCTGAACACATTAGCAGTAACATACTCTTAAGTTTACATGCCTCTGGCCTTTCAGTAGGTAGAATATCATCAATACTCTTTCCAGTGACTGAATACTAGACTCTGTGGAAGTGACTGTCATCTTTGCCTGTGACTGTAAGAATTAGGCCATGCTCCCTTGTTGGAGATGTAGAGGACACAATAAAAGCTGTGGTCAATGTGGAGTTGGCAGCATGTGGACTCACTCTTGTTGCCTTGGTTCTTCAGAGCTAGTGATGCTGGGCAGGGCTCACCAGCCCCAGAGCACTCTGTTCTTTTAAGGTTGAGCTGGCTTTCTCTTTCCTTCATTCATCATAGGTGAATACATTCCCTGATCAATCCATTTCTGGCAAATGTCTGATAGGTGCCTCATACTATCCAGTGGGCAGGTCTAGGTGTCAGCTCTGTATCTTGCCTCTAAGGGGCCATGAGCCCAGACGCTATTCCAGCCCTATAAATGCCTCCCAAGTCAGGGGCAATGAACTCAAAGACCTTGCTGAATTTCGCAGAGCTTCGTCGTCGTCTCACTCCTTGTCTCCTGTCCTGTGCTCTGTAGAAACCACACTGCCCCAGGCTGGCATGACCCACCGAAACTGGACGGGTATAAAGTGCATGCTCATCTAACCACAGAGGAGAAATGGCCCTCACAGCACTGCTGCTGTGTCTGCTTCCCTCTAGTGCTCTCTCTCTTCCAGAGCAGGCACATGTGAGCCCCATGCTGGACCTGGCTTCCATGAGAAGAGGGAGTGCTGTGGGCAGCACACGGCGGATGCTGCCACAAGCAATTCCACAATACATAATGTATGACACAGCAGCAGGGGCCTGCCTGGCTTCTACTGGAGTGCCAGGGAGTCCAAGATGAATTTTCTCTCTCTCTCTCTCTCTTTTTAAAATCTCCCCCTTACACAGAAGCATAAATATCACCAACACGGTTCTCACGCTGTAGCTATGGCCTTCCCACCAGCCATCACTCACAGGATAATGGAACTCTGATGATATTGGGGGTGTGGCAGGGAAGTCGATGAGCTGTTTAGTCGCTCAGGCAGGGCTCGGAAGCTCTGGGTTGGCGCTGTAATGGGAGAGTGCTTGCCATAAGATGGGCTGCCCAGATTTTTAGTTTTCGGCTTAATGGCTGATTTGATGACTGTTTTACTTGTTTTTCAAAGACAATTTGGATTCTGTGCTTTCAAAGGGTCGCCACTGAGTACCCATTTCATATGCTGGGGAGCCATTCTTGGCGCTACTATGTGGAAGAATCTATGTAGATTTTGCATTGGGGAAATTAAAAAGTAGAATACATGCCTCTTTTTCTGTCTTGGATGAGGTGGTGTTGAAATCCTAGTTGAGTGTAAGACTTGGGTATGGGACTTGGTCTCTCAACAGTGCGATGGGACTGCCAATGTGGACCTTGCGGAAGAACGAGGTTCCCAGGTCACCTTTGCAGGCAGAAGCACAGGGATGTGGGCCAAATCTGTTAAGTTCCTCAGTCAGAAAGTAAATTGACAACCCAGCTATCAAATCAGATCAGCTCAGTACACGCTGCTAAGAACCACAGCAAAACTTTTCAAGTCTTTCAAGATCAGACATCTGAAATACTAAAAAAAAAAAAAGTTTTATTAATTAAATTTGTTCTTTGAGAGTTTTATGCATGTATATAATACATTTTGAGCAGTCTGTCCCCAGCTCTGTCCTCTGTCTTTCCCACCTCTATCAATCGCCCACCCCCATCAGCCCCTCCCACCCCATCAACCTTTCCCACCCATCAACCTTTCCCATCTCCCATCAACTTCTTCCCTTGCCTACAAATTCCTATCCCCTATTCATTGGTTTTGTTTTGTGATCCAGCAGGGTTGCCTGTGGCTATAGGGTTGGAATTATTCACTGGAGCCTGGCGGACTCACCAGTGGACATACAACTGAAGTCTGTCGGCAACCAATAGTTCAGCAAAGAGCAGTTAATTATTTAAAATTCTTATCTACCATCCATTATATTGTTGACCATGCAACAGAATAACAGAGCTTTGCAGCTAGATGGGACTTGTGTTTTACAAAAAGCAACTGGACTCATGCGTCTTCACTCCCTTAGCATTCACAGCCACCCCTGGAATGTTCCTTTCCTCCATCCTTTCTCTTTCTTTCTTTCCTCCTCCTCCTCTCCCTCCACCTTCTCCTCCTCCTAGTCACCATCATCATCATCTTCCTCCCCCTCCTCCTTCCTACTGATTGAAGCCAGGGTCCTTCATATGCTGGGCAAACCTTTACCATGAGCTATACTCACCCCCCTTTTATTTTGAGACAGTTCTCACTCAGTTCCTCTGGCTGACCTTGAACCCTGAATTTCATGGAGGTTTTGAACTTGTATCCTTGGTCCTTTCAGAAGCTGGCCTCACAAGTCTGTGCCACTAGCCCAGCTTCCTTTTTCACTCCTTCCTGAATGGCATCTGTGCCAACACCCTTGGTTCACTCTCAACAGTGACAGCCAGGAGGACTCCTGGGGAAGTGAGCTGGTCCAGTCCCTGATGGGTTCTCTTCTATGTGTGGTGGTTGTTCTATGTCATCTCAGCAGGGAACAGGCAAGGCAGTGGTTGAACTCCCAGCCCAGCAGTGGCTTTCCCATCTGCCCATGGGAGGGTATGTCTCAGTCTTGACTGGTGCAAGATGTAAGAGGTGTGACAGTCTTTTCCAGAAAGAAAACTTAGTTTACTATAGCTGTATCTAATTGTGTGTGAGAGAGAAATGATTTGTTTCTGTTCTCATTTGGTAGCCATACAAATGTGAAGAGACACTGGGTTTTCATTTTATAGATGAAAGGGCTGGCCCTGCCCCAGGGCCCAGCGCTGCTGAAAAACAAATGCAGAGGTTCACTGGAAACAAATGAAACAACTAGCTATTGTTCTTCCCTGAATTTTACCAACCCAACCAGCTTCCCATGCACAAATCCCAAAGAAGTGTCCTCCATAGCCTCAAGCATGGGAACTCTTGGCCCCTAGTTGGCTTTGGGGAGGGTTAGGAGACATGGCCTTGCTGGTGGAAGTATGATGTAAGAATTCGATCCGTTCAGCCAATGGCATTGGGGTATCTAGCTCTGTGGGGCGTGGTCTTCTCTGAGTACATGAACAAATAAGAATGGAGGAGAGGCATCAGGCTTTCTCTCCTGGGTGGTCGGAGCAGGAGCATACAGCAGAAAAGCATGGCTTGCAGTCGGTTCCCATCACTGCCGCCCTTGGGCAGAATGGCAGGGCCACAAATGACAGCTGGATTGGTAGCCGCGCCTACTTTGTTCTGTGTCGTTAGTGTATCTTACTGATTTCATTTCCCTAGTAAATTTTACCTGGTCCATTACATCAGTGTTCCACTTTAGAAGAATGTGCCTGGAGAAAGGTTTGAGAGTTTAAATCCTGACCCTACTTCCAGTTCACACTGCTTCTTGCTTGCGGTCAAAGATGTGAGCTCTCATCTGCTGCTGCTGTTTGCTTCCTGTTCTGGATCCTCCACACATGATGGACTCTTCCCTCTGGGACCATGAGTCAAAGTAAATGCCTCCTTATATAAGTCACCTTGGTCGTGACATTTTATCACAGCCACAGGAAGGTAACTAAGGCACCACTCTTCCCATTCAGAGGTCTTTATAGACATAGGAAGATCAGCTTCCTATGGCTGTTAATATTGATCAGGTGACAAATGGTATTGATGTTTTACTCTGTCAGGGTTGCCATCATTTGTTAATTTGGAGTGGGCAGTGAAGCTCCCCGATTCAGCCACACCCATGTGGGAGATGCTGCACACAATGATTAATAGGGCTTCCTTTCTATAGAACACTGGGATGCTGAAGATTGAGAGCCAGTCTTGGGTTATCTTTAGTTCCCATAACAGCAATTTGTGGGCAGCCCTTGAACCTGAACTAACATCCTTTCGACTATTGAGTAAACCTTTGGAATATATTAACTTAGCAGACTGTCAGCCTCTATCAAGCCTACAGCTAAGATCGTCATCAGAAAGCATTTGGGGTCTATACTAGAGACATCCCAGCTAGATGGAACATAACTGCCTGATGTTTTATACCAATGTATTTGGTAAACGATTTATGACTTTCTTTTGTTCCATGAACATAAAAATTGCACGGAACTGCTTCTGTGATAGAATATTTCCTTTGGGGTATTCTGGGCTATGGCCCCTCATATTGCTTTCAGAATATACTTTCTCTTACTCACTTTGGAGAAAGGACCATGTTTCATATTGACACAGGAAGAAGCGCTTGGCCACTTTTCAGTTCTACATAGAAGAGTAGGTGATCATTTTATGTTGAGATCACTCTAAGTCTCTAGGAGCACAGAGCGAGGGCTGTCCTGGAAAAAGAGACACTTGACCCTTTTCTCTTTGTGGCGCTTGATCATAAAAGTAACTCGTGGTACAGAGTTAATGAACATTCCCTTTTGGAATAACTTTATTTTGTTGAGGGGGAAAAATCAGTTAAATTTAAAATTCTGTGGAGAAAAACTCACTTATTATGGAAAGAAGAAATCTGCTGAACCACCCAAAAATAGCTCAGGCAGCTAGCGTCCTCCAGCTTGCCTGAGCTACTGATACACTTAGTTTACTACCTCAGTCCCATCTGCTAGAGGTACCTGCTCTCAGATGGGGTGGTATTTGCTAGCTGAATTAATGAAGAGTATAGCATCTTTGGAAAAGTACACCATTTTTGATGCATTATTTAACTTAGGTTGTTCACCACAAACTTTAGAATTAAATACACCAAATAATACTGAGCTCTCAGGCAAGCCAGACCAGTCCCACAGTGCCTGACAGGCTGAAACAGAATAGAAATTATTTGAGCACTAACTTCTTTGTGAGCTAAACGAGATTCATGGGCTAGGAGTCTAGACTTTAGTGAGAAACTAGGTATTTTTCCAGCATATCAGTGAGTCTCACTGTGTATCATTTGTTCCAAACCTGTAGCTAGGAGAAAAAGCTAATACGCTTGAATGCTTTTACAATTAAGTGTTTAGGTGATGTCTGAATCCATGCAGTGGAACTGGTTAGTGCCCTTGCTGGGTGGAGGTAAAGATGGCACCATGCGGGGGTCTCCTCGAGCGCTCATCTAATTGGGCAGTGGACCGGTGTGTAGCGAGAAATCCACAGAGTCTATTGAATGGGCCAAGGAATTTATTAGGGAGTAAAACTCACTTCAGCACAGGAGATTGATTCTAGGATGTGGGAATGCCGAGCTATGTCCCACACTGACCTTCTGCCTAGTCTGAGATCTGCCTGGTCCGTCCTAGCATCCAAACCACGTGGGAGCAAAGAAGAGCGCCACTTACATGCATCCCATGTCTTAAGGGTCCCTTGTGGCTTGTACTTCAAGGTCATAGGCAGATGTAGCAGTTACTTGCAGCCTCTCTTGGGATGGTACTTCAAGGTCATAGCTAGAACAGCTACCCACTACACCAATGTAGTGCTTGGAAGATTTTGGGTGTGAGCATGTGACTCTTTCAGTTGTGGGGGGGACGGCAGTACTCATCTCCTCGGCGTAGTGTGAAGATTAATTCTGCTAAATACACAGTGTCCTGACACAGTCTCTTTGGAGTGTGTCCCACATCCCAAAGTGTCTAAAGGGGCCAAGCAGTTAGCAGGGGTCAACCCTTCTGGGTGAGCGAGCGAGCGAGCAGTCTTCTGTCTTTCTGCAATTGTGTACGATGGGTGGGCTTTGGAGAAGATTGTTCAAGCTCCACCTCATCTCCTCTGATTCTGCAGTACTCACAGCTCTCAGACCAAGGAAGATGGTAGAGTAACATGGCGGCCTCGATTCAGGTTTAAATAGCTTTCATTCACTGCTGCTATTGAAGAGATTTTTGTTGTTGTGGTGGTGGTGGTGGTGTCACCGTTTTAGACTCATAAAAAAGACATGGCTTGGGAGGTTGCACCTTGGTGTGATTTTAGCACAGGACAACAACAGGGGGACACCACTTCTTTTGATTGACACACAGAGCTATTTGTAAGATTTGAGGTGACTTCAGTGCGACCCAGACTGAACTGGAAGGCTTTCAAGTTTTAGGAAGGCCATGTGGTATACAGCATGGGAATCAGCAGTGGAGGGAGAAAAAAAAAATTAGAGGCAAAAGTCTTCTTCATATCCACTTTCACCCCATGGCAACCCTCATACTGCTGTTCCCAGGTACCCTGGCAGGTGGTCTGTGGGGAAAGGAGATGGACCCAAGAGAGCCAGATATGAGTGACTTCCCAGAGAAAGAATGGGGTGGAGTGCAGAGGCACTGGTGAGATGAGAGCCTCTCTGGGGGTACAGCAGAGTCCCAAATGGAGTTATGCTTAAGCAGCACTTGGGTACCATCCCCTATCATGAGCATTAGACATCCTGAGGAGCCAGCCTGGTGGACTTGGGAAGGTTACTAAGGGAATTCGCCATGGCAATAGATGCACAGCATAATGCTAACAAGGGCGAGCACTCGACTCTTTAAGACTGACATGGTCTTAGAAAATCATTCCCTAGCCAGTTGGCTTACCTTCCCTTCCTTACTCATTTCTGTTTTGCTTCTGGAGGGGTTCTAAGATTTTGCACTGTGTCCCTGATATAATTCTTGTTGCTGTGAAAACTGCAACGGAACCTGAAATACGGTCATTGGCTTTGCAGAACTTTCCTCCTCGCAGAGGCAACAGTAGGGTGGAGGCTAGCGCCTGCACAGAGACTTGAAGCCCACAGCTCTACACTAAAAGCCTAAGTAATGGGCCCTGCCTTCCAGGACTTTACCTCTAGAACAGCACTGTGATGCCTGTTGATCCTGGCAGAAGAATCTGGAGCATAGAGCAACCCATGAGCATTTATCCCCCACGTGGTTCTTTTGTGCAGAGGTATGAAAACCAAATATCCAAATTGCACTTCTAGGTTTGAGCTGGCACATGCATCCATCATGCCGCACATGGTAAAACTGGACATCTGAGAAAAGATCCTTAAAAAAAAAAAGTACAACACAAAGCTGTGTGAAATAAGTAATAAATCATTCATTCATTCTCTACCTTCTGGCAGCTGGAGTTAGAGCAGCCATCCTGTGACTTTGAAAACAAATGTCACTCAGAATAAGAGCAAAGCAAGAAAAGAATGAAGAAATGTGATGGTGATCAAAATGTGTTGCATGCATCTAAGAAAGTGCCTGTTATTTTGTACAAATAATATTTCCTAACAAACAGAACTACAGTGGAAAGTGTCAGGGAGTCATCAGACAGGATTGTGAAAGCCAGACCATTGGAGTGAGTACCACACAGTGGTATGTGTGTCATGAAGAGTCGTCCCTGTTCTAGACTCGGACCCTCTGCAGGTTGGGTCCAGAGGATCTAGCACTCTGTTAACCAATTTCTTTCTAGGGCTTAAAAGACTAGCATGTGCCTTCAGCTTTTCTGTTTTTCCTAGTCTGGGATGGAATGTTTGTGCTAGAGGGCGCTTGGGGTTCCATGACTTGACAGTGGAGGAAACTGAGGCTCAGGAGAGGGAGACACTTGAGCAGGCAAACGGGACCATGGTCTCAGTGGCTTGGTTGACTCCTGCCCCAGGCCCCTTCCCTCCCCCACAGGAAAGCCAGCTGCAAGGTAAGTCAGAGAAGGTAGCTTTTGACTGGGTCTCCCAGCTCGCAGAGCAGCCGCTTGCCCATAGGCAGCACTGTGGGTCACACACAGTCTCTGCTGGTGGCAAAGAGGAGATCTGGGGCTGGAATGTGAGAGGGTGAAGGAAGGTCAGGGGGAGTCAAGGAGGGTCAGAGAAGGCCAGGGAGGGAGGGAGGCACTGGGAAGCAAACACAGGCCGTCAGGGCCACCCCGGGTTAGCTAATCCGTAAGCACAGCTTAAGGAAGGCACACGTTTTAACATAGGTGGTTAGGACAAGGGTGTGAGACATAAGCAGATACAGGGTGTGGTTGACATGCACAGGAACAATGCACCAAACTGGGGGAGGACTTGCCATGGGTAGAAAGAAGGAATCGGACCCTGGATTTGGAGCGATTATGCCCATCATGAGTGTGTAGTACGTGTGTGAGAGAGATGGAGGTTAGGGTGTTGGAGGGTACAGGGAATCAGGACACAAAGTCAAGCTTGTGGGACACAGTCCCCGCATTGGAGAGAGGCTGGGACTCAAATGTCCTCCTACCTTCTGTTCTTCGCTGTCCTCCCTGTGAAGGGACAATAGTCTCTGCCCATGGCTGTGTGGCCCGGCGGCACCTTCCAAGAGAAAGAACACAGGCTTGCACGCCGTCCATAAAGCACTGTGCCTGTGGCTGCCTCAGCTGGTCTGAGAGGAGAGTGGAGCAAGCAGGTCGGTCACTAGACCCTGAGGTTGGCCTGGAAGACAGCATAAAAAGTGAGCCTCGGATGGTGTTAGTTGCAGAAGCGTAGGGCTCCTGGCTCGCTACACCTCAACATGTGGAGCCCTCTCAGCCCCTTCCGTTCTTATTGTCCGATGACCCACCCAACTCGATGCAGAGGTTGAAGGCGACATCACAGTGCTGATGGTGACTAGGGTCAATCTGCAGCCTGGTGGGAGAGGACCTCAGGCTGTGCAGGCAGGAGGCAGGGCAGGCCAGTCTCTGCGTGAGCCCTGTTCTCTATGGATGGGTGTCTGTTCCCGGCCTTCCCTCCCAGTTTTCTCTGTTTCTCTTCCCTTACTTTCTCTCTCCCAATCTGTCCCCATGTCTAAAATGGAAGAATATCCCAAGCCAGCCATGCTGGGAAGATGAAGTGAGGCACAGGAGCCGCCTCTCAGAGCCGGTATAAATACTGGCTCTAATTATAACATTAATATGGCTGGGATCATGAAGCCAGAGACAACCGACATATGGCGAAAGTTGCGGGCCCCAGAACTGCAAATGAGAGATGCTTTCTGAGAGAGAAAGCATGTTGCCCCGGAAACCAGGCTGCCCTGCCTCACCCACAGGAGAGTGCTGGGCTCTGGAGCACAATGTGGGTGTGGCTGGAGAGGGGACCAATGAGAACTGGGCAAGGACTGGTCCCACCTTGTGACTCTGCCGTTGGCACCCCCCCCCATTAACTTATTTCTTAGCACAGGACCCCATACACGGGACAGGGGAAGCAGAAGGCAGGCTTCGGCTCCAAGGCATTCAGAGCCCTTTGAAAGGGGTGCAGCATGAATTCCAGTCAGCTGGTACAGACGTGAGTCATGGCAATGGCCAAGCTCTAGGCACAGCTGGCAGAGGAGACCTCTTTCAGGGTGTTACTGAGAGGTTATGAACCTCAAGGGCTCTGAGGTTGGCAGGAAGGTAAACTGAGGCACTATATGGAACTTATTTTATCCTCTATAGGGCACTGTGGATATGGGGCACCCATCCACTGAACCCAAGGGACTGAACACGAGGCCCCACAGGCCTACGACTTTCTCCCCAAGCTCCACGGCGGATCTTACTGACTATGCCCACAGCCTGGGCAGGAGATGCCCCACAGTCCTCAGCACAGTTCCAGGGCTCTCACACCCCCTTCGGAGCTCCTCCCTTGGATCCCCAAACCTTATCTAGGAAGAAGAGCTTCCCTTTGAGAAATGAAAGTTCTTACCCAAGAAGTGTCCCTAGAGAGCGCAAACCTCTGCTTCCCTTGTTCAGGCTGGAGCCGGGTCTTCAACACATTTCAGAAGGGATAAAGTGACATGATTTTCCGAAAAGCAATGGAGTGCGGGTGCGTGCACATCTTCAGAAAGTACGTGCACTTCAGCCAATACAGAATTCTTTCCCCTGTAGTCAGTAACCATGAAACAGCCGTGTTGCCAAAGACATGTACAAGGCAGCAGAGATGGTCACTAGCTGGGGGAAGCCTACACTGGCTGAGCACCAGGTTCACCATCAGAGGAAAAGACAGAGCCGTCAGGCTGCCTGTGCAGTAGAGAGGGTTGGTCCCTCTCAGTGACACGGTGGAGATTTACTGCTTCAGTGCTATGCGAGGCCCGAAACCTCTGGAGCCATGTCTGTGGTGAGCGTGCGGTTTTTATATATAGCAGGGCTGAAATGGTCAGGTGCTGTGTTTTTTCCATTCTCTCTGCCCCTTTCTCAAATTCTAACATCGATCCTGCAGTATTAGTAATCAGTAATAAGCAATGAGCCTTCATTAGTAGTGAGTCTGTTAATCCCAGATCATGAAGAGTATCACAGTAGACTCTCCCCCAGGGAGATGAGGCCTCCTTAGCTGAAGATGGTAAGGGAAGGGATCAGGATGGGGCCAAGGGCAGCATCAAGCTTGTCTCTTTGGGCTTTTTCTGGCACTGAGGCAGCTCATTCTTCTTCTAGTAGATGTGAACCCGGGACCTACTGTGTGCCACGTAGAGAGTTACTCACTTTCAAACGAATTTATCTAAGGCATTGTCCCTGTGTGTTATGTGGCGCTCCCTTATGGGATCATGGAGTGAGCTATAACTTCTGATCAATTTGGTCGGGAAGTAACTTCTCGTCTTCCCTCCGGGCTTAGTTTCTCCAAAGCCAGAGCGGCCCACTGACCTACGCATTTCCAGAAACTTCTTCGGAGGCCTGTCCGTCCACCGTTGCCTGTACCTCGCCAGCAAACACACATTCCCCCTCCTCTCCACACACATATGCATTCGCAACCACGCACATGCATGCAATGCAGGTGTGCACACCCACCGCACAGGCATCCTGAGCTCCCAGGCCTCTCTGGCTAAGCTCCCTCAGCCATCAGCTGCTGTTTATTTCTTGGCCTCCTCATTTGGCTCCTGGGAGGATGTTTCAGCAGACTCTTCGGAGAGAAAGGGAAAAAAATACAATAGCTCATTAAGCTAATGACCCTTAGCCAGGCTGGCTGCTAGCAAAAAAAAAGAAAGAAAGAAAGAAAGAAAGAAAACCCCGCAGGCAGGGACAATTGCTAGCTTTCCACTGCACTGCCATTGCCTCCATGGAGGGCTCGTTTGTTCTCCTGTCCTGTTGTTTCTCAGACTAAGAAGCTTGGGGAGGGCAGCTGTACCTGCATCTGGGGAGAGGTTTCAGACTCTACCTGTCACCCGAGAGTCTGTTTCCCCTGGAAAACCACCACAGCCGTGATTGGGGTAGCAACAGAGGAGATGATGTTCTGTGTGTGTCACCCTTCAGGGTTCAGATGCTCAAGCCTTTGTCCTTGAGTGACTCAAGTTCTGGTGTTAGCATTCCCAGAGAACAGGAGCTTGGAGATGGAGAGATCAGCTGATCGTCTGAATTCTGGAAAGCTCGGGGTAGAGCACAGCGCCAGATTTTTGACTATACACATTTGTCTGCATACCATCACAGTCTAGGCACATGGCTTGCTGATTTCTGTGCAGTCTCCAGACATATGAACCCCCTGTCTCCCTTGATTCTTCCCAATGACTTAACTGCCTGGCCTGTCTTTAGTGTTTCAAATCTTCATATGTGTTTCTCGAACAGTGTTGTTGTCATGGGCCTGAGGGAAGAGGCTTGTCTCAAGCCCATGTGTCCACTTTGCTGCTTCCTGGGGATCTTCAGTCCTTGTCTTTCAGATTTTTTGCACTGATTCAATGAGAAGACAGGGCTTTGTGACTCTCCCGAAGAGTCCGATGTTCTGGAACATACACAGACACTCTCTGCATTCATTTCCTTCAGAAAATTTGGAAGACCTGAAGGGATTTAAGAGACAGTGAGGTGGAGGGAAGACTTAAAAACACAAAATAAAAGAGGGGACTGGCCCAGAAGCCTGTTAAATTCTGTTAACCCGAAGGCTTACTTGTGAATTTCCTCTCAGCCAAACCCAAGGAGGAAGTCCACTCCTTACATTAACCCTTCCTTATGGCTATCTACTGAATGTCATGCTACAGGCTAGGTCCTGTCCTATGCACTTGCCCTGTTCAGATTCATTTAATGTCCAAGGATACCTTACGGGGCGAGGGGATAATTATGCTATATGTCAAATGAGGGAACTGAGACAGCCACATGACTTATTCCTGAGTAGGTTGAGTGAGAGCATTTCAGTGTGCATGCTCAGATTCCAGAGATGAACCACACCTTCTGAGGAAAAAGTCCACCAGTGACCTCCACAAACACTACTTTCCTAGAATAAATGATGTATCCATAATCCTAGCACATGGATTTGGAAAAGTCATACATATATACGTATAATGACGGGAACAAAACAGTCTCCCCACCATGAGCAACATGGTTTCTCTGGCAGTACAGTACTGACTCCCTTTACTAAGCTTCCTGAATCTGTGGACATGCCAAGGGTATTCCATAATAAGAATAATAGTTGTGAGGGCTAAAGGAGTCATTCTATGAGAACAAATGTCAACTTTGTAGGTCCTTCAGCACATGATGAAGTGATCTCACTCATTAACATGTTGCGAAAGGCTTTGAAAAGTCAAGACTGAGGGACGGAAAGAACATGGTTCCCATGATTTTGCTGTGCAGATAGGCATGCTCCATGCCAAGCCAAGCTTGAACTTGACCTGCCAAAGCCATAGGGTGGCATCTCTCACTCCCCACTTAAAAGAGGGCACTAGAGACATAGAAGATTTCCAAGTCATTTACCATTTGCTTTAACAGAAGCCAAGTCACCAATCCTTACTTCTTGGGAAGTACAACAGACCTAAGTACCATAAAGAGGAACAACTGAATCCACTTCAAATCTTAAACTATGCACACAGCCTCTTGATAGACCATCTCTAATATTTTAATGGGCATTTAAAATAAAAAGATAATAGGTATTTTGTGTTTTGTAGTATGTGGCATGAGGCTGTCATAGTGTGAGACCAAAATGAGCCATCTTAGACATAAGACCAAAATGCTTTCACCCTAAAACTAAGGCCTAAGATTTCTCCTTTTGGGAATAGGCCATTAGTTACTGAAACCAGTCAGTTCAGATTCCAGAAACCAGGAAGTGTAAAAGTACAGAGTCACAAGATAGTCACAAGGTAATGCCTGCTGGACTATGGAATGTCCTCTCCCTGGTTTCCAGGGCAACTGACCACAGAAATGCCCCCACCTGAGGGCAGCCAATGAGA